GGCAGCATGCCCAGAGCCCCATGCAGAATGAACCCTGTGACAAAGCTCAGGCTCCTGAGACTCTGGGGACTTCCTGGCCAGGGAAGCCCAGCTCAGTCCTCACCAGGAAACTACTCTTCTTCCCTGAGCCTGCCCGTAGGCTGCTAGAATTCCACCTCCAGAAGCAGTTGATTCACCATCGCTGGGGCTTGCCCCAGAAGATCCAGCAGTCCATCCAGCTGCTCCTCTCCTCCAATGACCAGCAGACCCTGTCCTGGGGCAGCACAGCCCTCACCAGTATGAGCGTCGCTCCTTCTACAGCTCTACAGGCCAGTGAGGCCGGGGACCTGCTCTCACCAATTGTGGCCCCAGTGTTGATCCCCATGCCGTGCTTTTTTGCCCAAGCAAAGGCAATATTGAAGAGCCACATTGACTCCAAATGTGGACAGATCCTCCAGGGCAAGATCCCTGCCCAGGTATACAGCTCCTGGGACCACAGAATTACTGGGAACCTGGCAATGGCTCCCCTCTTCTGCATTCCAGAAAGCCAGCCCCTGGAACTGCAAGCAGCAAGTGACCCTGACCTACATCATCAAGTTATGCCCTGGAAGCCCATGGCCCCTGATCTGCAGCAGCAGGCCTTACCAAGTGCTGCTGCTGAACATCCTAAGCTGACCCAACCCCTGTCTGAAGGAGCCATTGAGAAACTGGAGACGACTCTACGGCACAAGTATCTGGCCTTTCTGTCAGGGCTGCCTTCTCTCTACTATGTGGCTCTCTCCAGAGCTGTGGCCCCGGCAAGCAACAGCCAGTCAGTAAACGCAGAGAGGGTACCTGGGCCTGGGCCTATCGAAATCTCAGCACAGCCCCCGACTCAGATGATCCCATCTGAAGAACAGTGTAAGAGTCCTGGGCCATGCCTTCAGGATGATGAGACTTGTACAGACATTACAGAAGATGTCCAGCATGAAGTGCAGGTGGATGGAACAATGGAGACAGTGCTTCTAGAAAGCTACATACATCCTGTCAGACCCCGCTCATTCAGTACACATATCTTGATCAAGCTCAATTTTCACCTGAGAAAAAAAGGCTTAGAGATACAACTGGGAATTCCCATAAGGGCACGGGAGTCCATGGAACAAACTGCAGCAGTCCCAGAGAACATATCCACACAAGAGTCCCTTGGGGGTCTAAACAACCAAGAAAACCCACTGCTCCAAGAACTGCCCATTGGATTAGACACATCTCATGCCACAGATCCAGAGTGGATCCACTGTAAAGAACAGCTGGCCACTGAGTTGAAGGCAGTGAAGCAGAATCAAAATCAACCTGTTTCTAAAACAGTGCCCTGTGGCTCTGCTCAGTGGGCCTCCAAGATCTCTCAACCCACTGGGGATATGATAGACACCCATGTCCTTTGTGTTCAGGTGGAGTCCAGTGTGAAGAAC